TCCGGGCAATGTCGAAATACCGCTTGTCAGTTGTGTGACCGCAGTTGTTGGCTGATCATGTGGTGATGAGCCAGCAACAGAACTTGTTTGTTGTGGTGTACCATAACTTGTCAATGGTGTCGTTGCACCGCTCGATATTGGTGTCACTGATGTTGCTAGAAAAGAGAGAGAGAGAAAAGGCAAAAATAAGCACTTTTCTTTCCCACCAATCAACAACTAAAACATGCATACTAACCCAATTCTAAACAAGCAACCACGCTAATGGTCACCGAGTGTGGGCTTTGGTTGTTTGTCGTTTGTGTAACGCGTATTTCGATTTTCTTTGTACGCTTATGATGTGGTAACTGGGTATAGTCAACTTTTGTTCCTGTTACATTTGAATATATAACATTGCCATGATCATCATAGAAAATCACTTCCATTTTTTCAATATTTGAATCTGGTTTATTTTGTGGTAATTCAACGTGATTAACCTGTGCCGATTTTGGTAAATCAATCACAAATATCGGGTGTTTTTCATCAGGGAGAAACGTATGCCCTTTACCGGCTGGACTCAGTTCTTCTTTATGTGGTATGTCGACGGGTTGCACTTGAATACGACTTAATATTGAAGTATCAGTCATTATTTCCATTTCTTGACACGGCGTTGTTGTTCCGGGCAATGTCGAAATACCGCTTGTCAGTTGTGTGACCGCTGTTGTTGGCTGATCATGTGGTGATGAACCAGAAGGCGGCGTTGTTTGTCCGGGCAATGTCGAAATACCGCTTGTCAGTTGTGTGACCGCAGTTGTTGGCTGATCATGTGGTGATGAGCCAGCAACAGAACTTGTTTGTTGTGGTGTGCCGTAACTTGTTGATGGTGTTTGTGGGGTTGGTTGGTCACCAGTAGCCGTTGTGGTCGAGTCGTCGGATGGTCGGCTCCGGCCTTGTTGTAAGTTGTTAGATGTGTATTTGTTGTTGGTGGCGTCGTTTGGCGTTGTTGTAAGTTCGTCTGGGTGCCTGGTGACATTGTTCACTATAATGAGGTTTAGAGAATGGGAGTGTGAAAGTTTTTGCTCGCTTATTCGCAGTTTTGTGATTAGCGGGATAAGGGAATGGACGGCTAGCGGAACTTACCGTTTTGTGGGAGTGTTGTTTTTGTGACCGCAGGTGTTGACTGATCATGTGGGGATGAGTTAGCAAGAGAACTTGTTTGTTGTGCTGTGCCATAACTTGTTAATGGTGTTTGTGAGGTGGGTTGGTCACCAGTAGCCGTTGTGGTCGAGTCGTCGGATGGTCGGCTCCGGCCTTGTGGTAAGTTGTTAGATGTGTATTTGTTGTTGGTGGCGTCGGTTGGCGTTGTTGAAAGTTCGCCTGGGTGCCTGGTGACATTGTTCACTATAATGAGGTTTAGAGAATGGGAGTGTGAAAGTTTTTGCTCGCTTATTCGCAGTTTTGTGAGGAGCGGGATAAAGGAATGGACGGCTAACGGAACTTACGGTTTTGTGGGAGTGTTGTTTGTGTGACCGCAGTTGTGGGCTGATCATGTGGTGATGAGCCAGTAACAGAACCTGTTTGTTGTGGTGTGCCATAACTTGTTAAAGGCATTTGTGAGGTTGGTTGGTCACCAGTAGCGGTTGTGGTCGAGTCGTCGGATGGTCGGCTCCTGCCTTGTGGTAAGTTGTTAGAGGTGTATTTGTTGTTGGTGGCGTCGGATGGCGTTGTTGCGAGTTCGTCTGGGTGCCCGGTGACATTGTTCACTATAATGAGGTTTAGAGATTGGGAATGGTAAAGTTTATGCTTGGTTATTTGGAGTTTTGTTGTTAGTGGTATAAACGAATGGACAGTTAGTCGAACTTACGGTTTTGTGTGAGCGTTGTTTGTGTGATCGCATTTGTTGGCTGATCATGTGGTGTTGGGCCCGAAGGCGTGTTGTTTTGTCCAGGCGACGCCGTAATACCGCCTGTCAGTTGCGGCTGTGTCATAATTTTGCTTGTTGTTTGTGACGACGAATGTTGAGCAGGAGCGCTGGTGGTGGAGTTGTCGGACGATCTGCTTCTGCCTTGTGGTAAAATGCTAGATGCGTATATACTCATGGTGGAGGTTGATGGCATTGTCATAAGGTCGGCTGGTTTGTCAGTGGTTTGGGTTACTGAAACGTAGATCAGTGTTCGGTAGTGAAAAGGTTTACGTGTTGCTTTGTGCAGCTGAAGTCAGTAGTTGGAGAAGAAGAGGCCTTTTTCAAAACAGGAAATACAACTCACGGTTTTGTGTAGTGCCAATTATTGGCTGATTATATGATGATGATCCAGAAGGGTGAGGAGCAACAGAACTTGTTGGTTGTAATGCACCATAACTTGTTAGTGGTGCCATTGCACCGCTCGATGTTGGTGTCACTAATGCTTCTAGAATAAAAGGAGTGGAAGCGTTAGTTCATCTTAGTGGCTAGATATTTTTAGGGGTTTGTTTCGTATTTTGTTATTTTTGCTAATCGAGCATAGATTGTGTTGTTTTTGTTTGATGAGGGTAGTGTGTTTTGGTGTTTTTATGCTTTTTGCTTCTTGGACGTATCCTGTAGTACTCACGTGCTTCTGGTTCAAGTTGCGCCTTTGTGTAAAGCTCGCTTTTTTCTACACATCCGTAAATGGCCAGGCGAAGGTCGGCGGGCTTCGAGTTATCGACGGTTTTGCTTATTGTGACGAATACTCCGAGGTTGTTTTCGATGTTTGGTTGAAATGAAACTGTTGGTAACTGTCTGTTGTGGCTTAATTTGGGGTCGGTATAATCAGTTGCTACTTGTATTTGATTAACTTTTGATGTGAGGGCATTTAATACGGATACTCGGTCAATGGTGCCCTATAATGTGAAGACGGTTGAATTTCGGATAGATTATCATGTAGTTGTGAGGCACTGATATGTTACCGGTTGTTGAAGCTCAAAATCTATCGTAGTTGGGAATGATGTAAGTGGAAATGGACTGGGCAATGAAGCAGTTTCCAGTCGCTTGTTATTGACCCATATTGATTCGAAAACCTTTTCTCCTTGTTGGATGAGTTCTTCGATATTTTCGCATTCTAAAGGTCGAAATACGTTCTTTTGTTTGATGTACATAGCTTCGAGTGAAATAAAGTTCTTACTAGGCATTGGACTGACTGTATTGAATGGTGCATGAGTTGGCCTTGTCCGTAAAGTCCGTGTGGATCCTAGAAAAGTTCAATCGAAATTTTATAATCCAACGTATGTGTAGTTGATATTGCACATGTAGTAAATACCAGTAGTTTGTGATACACTCGGTGCATTTGACAGTGATGTCACAATTCCCGGTACCGTTGCTGTTGTCATAGGACGTTCCATTACTAAGATAAGCATGATAAAAGCCTTGGTTAGTTGACATCATATCTTTCTCTATCTTACTTGGTGCGTAGCATCCAAAAACTAACAAACGAAAGTTCTTCGCCAGTTGCCCGTCGGTTGTATTCAATATGCGAATATCCATGCCACGAATATTACATCTCGGCGGATCAACATGTATCGATGTATCATTTGATAGTTGTCGTACAACAATTTCACTACCGTTGTTTGGATATGTCAATGTAGATCCATTCAGAGTTTTATACGTCATTTCAATCTGATTAATATTAGTTGTCCTGCCTTGAGCTGTTGTCTGAAGAGAAACGTTCGTGACACATATCTTATTGTTAAACATGACGTTCACCACTGCATTTTTCTCATTGAAGCTTTCCCCCTTTAGACCTTCATATGCTTGTGTGAAGGGGGAATATGATTGTTTCGATTGGTAATACTCAACGTGTTTTGAAATCAAGATGTTTGTTGGTATGCAGGGCACTAAAATATGTAATCAGTTTGCTGAAAAAAAGTGTTTCTGCCGAAAAGAATATCTGAATCAGTAAATGCTGTAATTATTTAACAGATAGATCAAAACACCACTAAATCGATAGGAACATTTGCCTTACGCTGAGTCGTTGTGATTGGACTTGCAGCACCAGTTACTATTGCTTTACTTGTGGTAGTGTCAACTGAAAAAGTAATCAAACACAAACGGTTTAGGTTTGTTAAATCAATTGGAAGTCTAATGAATATTTGTAAAGTATTGATAAAAGAGAAAGTCGTTCCGTTTATAATACGCTGGCAGATTTTCTAAAATAATATTAATGGAGCTGTTGTACCTTCTTCTATCTGTGCTTTGGTATTCCATTTTAGTTTTTCAACGCATCCATAAATGCCAATTCGAACATCTCTTGGAAGTGAATCTTTTAATGTTTTTGAAATGTTTACTGTAACAGCAGTTATCATGTCTAAATTTGGATGAAAATTAACAGTTGGCGACGAGGCATTTTGACTGTAAATGTAAGGGGTAGAATCAGTTTCAACGGCAATTTCAGTAACGGACATTGATGGATCCATTGCAGAAACATGATCAATTATTGCCTAGAAGGGAAAACATTGCGATTATAGGTATTGCATAAAAGAGTATTGAGCTTTTCACTAAACTCACAGGTTGCAAAAATTCAAAATCAACAATTGTCGGTATTGTAGTAAGAGGAAATGGAGTAGGAAATATGGCGGATTTCAATTTTATTCCGTTAACATATATAGCATATAATACAGTGTCACCAAATTGCACAAGTTCTTCGATTGTTTCACACACTATAAACATAAACATTTCATGAATAAGTTGAACTCACATACCAAAAAAGACTGCGACTAATTCATTCATACTTTTCACGGCTATAGTACTATCAGCATAATTTGTTGTCGAAATAACGGTGTCATCTACTAAACAAATCAGAAAGCATTAATATTTTATTTTAATGGAAGGCTTTTCCGCATAATTTGCTTTTTCGAAGCAATTTTCTAGATAATATAGATTCACGGATTACGGAAAAAGCTTTTCTTTTCAAGTCTCCGATGCCAATAAGTATATCATTAATCTAAGCATATCTATTAATTTGGTAGCCTGTATGCTGTTTTTAAAATAAAAAATAACACGTCGAGCAATTTCTAGTATGAGGATCATTTTGCATGTGTAAGTCCTATATTATCAGCGGACTTTTCCCAATAATGAATCATTAGTCAGTCAGAAGCATGTGATTAGACTGTGTCAAAAACTATGTGTGAAAACCTAGAAAAGTATTGTTTGACTAAAGAAACTGTTGTACCTGGTGTACCTGGAGTTGCTATGGCCATGTAGTGTTTGTCGCCTGAAATAAGAATTTTAGTGATCAACATATATCTTAGAGTTTTCTCTATCTTACTTGGTGCGTAGCATCCAAAAACTAACAAACGAAAGTTCTTCGCCAGTTGCCCGTCGGTTGTATTCAATATGCGAATATCCATGCCACGAATATTACATCTCGGCGGATCAACATGTATCGATGTATCATTTGATAGTTGTCGTACAACAATTTCACTACCGTTGTTTGGATATGTCAATGTAGATCCATTCAGAGTTTTATACGTCATTTCAATCTGATTAATATTAGTTGTCCTGCCTTGAGCTGTTGTCTGAAGAGAAACGTTCGTGACACATATCTTATTGTTAAACATGACGTTCACCACTGCATTTTTCTCATTGAAGCTTTCCCCCTTTAGACCTTCATATGCTTGTGTGAAGGGGGAATATGATTGTTTCGATTGGTAATACTCAACGTGTTTTGAAATCAAGATGTTTGTTGGTGTGCAGGGCACTAAAATTTCAACGTTTTGCTTTTTGAAAAATAGCAAGAAAAAGCAATTCTTACATGAATCTACAGTTGTTCCACTTATTGTAGCGAATACTAATTGTGTAACTGATGAACCAACTAAAATTAAAAGTAATGTCCTAGTGACGCTCATTACGAGTAGAGATGAGATGAACGACTAACGGTATACTTTTCCGTTCTCTTTGTATAACGTCACACGAAATTTCTTCTCTTTTCTGTAACGTTACCGATATATAGTAGTGTTTCATTTGAGTGAAAGGACAATGAATAACAAAACTTTCACTTTCATTCATTTCATATACGTGTTTTCTTTTCTGTTTGTCTATGCGTTAATCGTTTCCAAAAAATCGTGAAAGTTGTGAAAGGCACATGTAAGAAAGCAGTCATAAAGTCAAGTAGTCTGTTATTGAGTACAGCGCCTGTTTTAGGATTATTTGCCTGCCTTTAGTCTTTTTCGTTCTCATGACTCACCCTTTCACATGTTGCCTGAAATGTATCGATACACTTTCAAAGAATATGAAACAAAACTTTCACTTCCATTCTCTAATGAAAGTGAAAGTAGTGAAAGAAAACAGTATAACGATATTCATTGGTCTCGTTCCATAGTCAAACGTTAGGCATATATAGGAAGGAAAGAAAAACCGTCTACGTCTTACGAAATGTGTGAATGATAGTGGTTTCTTACGAACACCATCTCATCTCTAATTACGAGTCAGATAGAACTGTCATGGTGAATGGTGAAATTTTGAATCAAGAACTGTGGTGATCGTGTAGAAGCAGAATGGTTCAAATCTGCATTTCATCAACATATAATTTTCTGTAGTCTATACCTGGAAGAGTTTGTAATGGAGGAGCATCAGATACTTGCACCAACTGTGTTGAAACTAAAACGTTATCCACAATGTTCTGATATGCACATCAATTCCATTTACGTATACTTACTAGGTGTATAACAACCGAAGACTCTTAATCGAAAATTACGGGGATAACCATCACTCGTTTTTAAAACTGTAACATGGAGCCCTTTCACATTGATACCAATTCGTTTCCTATCGTGGATCGACAGTTGTCCGTCGAGTGTAGTGAATTTCACTATTTGATTCGTAATCGGATCCTTTAGTGGCTTTCCATCTGATGCAATATAATAATATTCAAATTTATTGATATTAGTTGATGTTCCATTATATTCTTTTTGCAAGTCAACATCAGTAATAGTCACAAGCCCCCGAAAAATAGCTGTTATAGTTGGTGTTGTTGATAGTACAAAATTTTCACCACGTGTATTCTCATAGCCTTTGGTAAAGGTACTCATGCTATCGACTGATGAATAGACGGCCATATTCGTCGGTTGAAGTATGTTAGAAATATTACAAGGGCCTATAACGATAACAGAACGTATAAGTCTTGTCCAGCAAGGATGATGGTGAAGCTGAATCGTCACTGTGAAAAACTTACCTTGTATTCTTGTTGATGTAGATGGTATTGCTAAACATCACAAGCAAATAAATAGCTGCTTATAAATGCTTTAAAGAATTAACTTACTCGTTGTAGTTATCAGATCTTCAATTTGAGCTTTTGACCATACTAAAAAATGGAGAATACCCAGTTAGAACTGACATTCTCACTGGTCATGCATACGTTTCGCTTACATTTTTTTGGTGTGTAACAGCCTGTCATTGCGAGTTTTACGTCACGAGCCAGTTGACCATCTGTTGTGGTAGCTATTACCTCTATTTTCTCTATACTCTCAAAATTACCCGTTAAAACTTCTCCTGAAGTGACTGAATATTCAGTTGGATTATAAAAAGCATCGTACAAGATGATTGCGATATTTTGAAGATTTTTTCCCGTTACGGATATTGTTGATAAAACATCGATTGTTTGCGTTACTAATGCTAATTGCAGTTTCGCTTCACCAGATGTAGCACTGAACGGATTAGATGCAGTTGCTAATTGTTCTACCGATTGTGTTTGATTATTCAGATTGCTCGAAATGATTGTATTCGAAGGTGTGGCCAATAGGTCGATAATAGTTGGACAATACAATGCTGAAATGGATAAGAGCATTACTATGGTCTTTCTGATGCTCAAAAATGTTTTCGCACCCTAAACCCTCATATAACTCTTATCCTAATCATGAAATTCTTCTGTTGGATCTTGTCTTTATACAGACAGTCGAATAGAAATTTTCAAATTTATCACTTGCTATTAGCTATGAGTATCGCTGTAAAAAAAGTAACGCAAAAACATAAAAAGTCACAGTAAAAACGTGGCATCATAAAACTAATGTCACGTTTTAACTGTGACTTTAAATATATTTTGTTAACGCTTTTTCTGTGGCATGTCACATCCTAATGACATCTAAAAACGGATTTTCCGTGACATCACTTTCCATTAGTTATAGGCCAGTGGAATGAAGATAATGTCATACTTTTCCTGTTACATGTCACGATAAATTTGAAAAAAGAAGCGTCCGTGGTTTTTTCACCTACTTTTCTCTAAACCACATACAAAAGTTCCTCGATCATTGAGTAAGGTCCGTGAAGTATGTAACCACGGGCTTTTCAACCTGGAAGTTGTCAGTCAGATCTGTAATTTTTCCGTGAAAATATGGATCAAAGTGCATGAAAAAGTACAGATCTGACTGACAACTTCCAGGTTGAAAAGCCCGTGATTACAAACTTCACGGACCTGTTATTATTTGTTAATAGTGAACCATGGCTATAACCATGGTTCACTATTAACAAATCTTGGCAGGGGAGCACCTAAAGGTGCTAAAAGGTGGAACTCCCAATACTGAGACGCCTAGTCTTAAAAAAATTAGTTCTAAGCTGAAATAAAAATTTAATATACTAATGAAATTTAAAGAACATGGATGAAATTTTTTTTCTAACCAAATATTTGTCTTTGGCTATAAGATGGAGTATATGAATGTTTTTTTTTAATTTCGTTTAACATAGACCGTTTGTTAATATTCGAAATTTGATGCTTTAACACAACTCGTTCCGAACCTTTTTAAGAGGTTGTGACTAACACTTTAGGGGGCCGTATGAGCCTTTTTAAGAGGTTGTGACTACCATTTTAACAGATTGTCCTCCAGGAGAGGGAGGGCGGTTTAAATTTATCTTAAAAACAGCAGTTTTGGGGTATAAAACTGTTACTCCCTCATTTTCGAAGATAATGAGGAGTTCCACAAATAATTAATCCTAAAGATTATAATAACTATAAGTAGTGACCAAGTTAAAAAAAATTATCTGTGAAAATGAAATATGAAAAATGAAATCATGCAGTGAAAATTATAAGGCAAATAAAGTTAAGAAAATCGTCCAGTCTGCCTGGAGGACGAACACAGCATTTTTTATTTCCAAGCGGGTGCGCACATTGTTGGATCAAGGATCAAGCTCTATTTTTGTACAAATTATGATTTATTTATAAACTGGGAGAAGCCAATCGCTTTTGTAACAGTCTCAATGCTCTTTAACACAAATACACAGTCCTCAATATTAGTTCAGCGTGATATGCATTTTGACGATAAACAAATTAAAATTTTTCTATGGTACATACGTTTTTCGGTACTTGATTGTTGCACGCCAGGTGCTACTGGTATTGCCATATAATGGACTGCATCTGCAAAGATCAACTATATACACTTTTTGAGGAAAATTTATTTATTCCTACCTGGGACGAAACATCCAACAACGACGAGACGAAAGCGTTGCGGCGTACTGCCTGTTGTATTCAAAATTTTAACTTGTAAACCACGTATCTCCGTTCTATAATCATCAATAGTAGCACTATCATTTGGTGAAATTAGTTCAATTACGCTTCCATTTGGATATTTTATTGGTTCATATTTATAACCCAGGTAAACAACGGATATTTGTTGTATATTACTTGGATATATAGAATAATTTTTTTGTACATATATTCGTGTAACGTTTACCATACCGGATTTAAACTTTGCCAATACAGTTGGCTGCTGAACTTTAAAATTTTCACCAGTTTTATTCTCATAAGCTTTTATAAACTCGGTATCTGAATCTCGTGAATAATATTCGAGAACATTAGATGGTAGTAAGATATTTTTTGTAGTACACATGCCTAAAATTTACCCAGGAACAAGGGGCTAATCAAATTGAAGAAAATATGACTCAGGCACTTACGCTTAACTGTCGTTGATGGTTCTACAATGAAAGTAAAAGTAGAACACTTCATATCAAACGTTTAAAAAAATGACTCAACTTACTCGTTGTAGTTATCAGATCTTCAATTTGAGCTTTTGACCATACTAAAAAATGGAGAATACCCAGTTAGAACTGACATTCTCACTGGTCATGCATACGTTTCGCTTACATTTTTTTGGTGTGTAACAGCCTGTCATTGCGAGTTTTACGTCACGAGCCAGTTGACCATCTGTTGTGGTAGCTATTACCTCTATTTTCTCTATACTCTCAAAATTACCCGTTAAAACTTCTCCTGAAGTGACTGAATATTCAGTTGGATTATAAAAAGCATCGTACAAGATGATTGCGATATTTTGAAGATTTTTTCCCGTTACGGATATTGTTGATAAAACATCGATTGTTTGCGTTACTAATGCTAATTGCAGTTTCGCTTCACCAGATGTAGCACTGAACGGATTAGATGCAGTTGCTAATTGTTCTACCGATTGTGTTTGATTATTCAGATTGCTCGAAATGATTGTATTCGAAGGTGTGGCCAATAGGTCGATAATAGTTGGACACGCGGTTGGTATGGTTGCTATAATAAAGAACGCTCAAGGCAAAACTGTTTATATGTTACAAAAATACATCAACATTCAATCCTATGTGAAATTATGTAAGCTATGTCTTAAATTATGTCTAAAAAATTATGTCTTAAAAAATCAGCTTGTCTAACCTGTAGTTTTAGTCATTGTAGGCATATAAATCGTCTTTATTTTTGCTAAAAATAAAACAAGAAACAGCTAAGTGTCACATGTGTTTTGTGATATTGTGCAACAAGAATTCATCGTTACAAACCTGCCGTATAACATCCCTTGACAAGTAAACGGAATCGTTTTGCTACATCGTTTTTATCTGTTTTAAGTATTCTAATATTAAGACCACGAATTCCATCATGATACTCTTCAATGATGGGTTTATCAACAGGAGATACACTATGAATTAGTTGCCCATTGGTATCGTTAATCAATGATCCATTTGCATCTATGTATGTTACTTCCATTTGTTTAATGTTACTAGGATATTTTGCATGTTTTGTTTGTATTTCAATTTTTGATATCGAAGCTAAATTTGGTCGTTTAAATCGTACCTCAATTCTTGCATTGGGCGTATTAAAATTTTCTCCTTTAAAATCTTCGTAAGCCTGTGACATATCTGATACAGAATCAGGGGATGAAAATGAGTCCAAATTACCAGCACGTATGGTATTTGTTTCATTACACATTGCTGCAAGAGAAAGTTTAATACAATAACAGAAATATGACGAGGTACGAATAACTTACGTTTTTTAGATTTTATTCCATGACCTCCAAGACCCATACAATTACGAACAAATACTTGTAAAGTTGCATTATAAACGGACTGAGAATTTTCAGTATGTACTAATTCTACTTGAATGCCACGAAAAGTATAATTTGGGCACAAATAATCGATACTATTATTAACTCGATTATAAACACTCAGATATGTTGCTGTCCAATTTTGTAAACCTTTCTCAATAATCGGTTGACCACTATCATTCAAATATAGTAAACGTATTTGTTTAACATTTGATTTTGGTGTCAACACACTAATTTTAGCTATATGCATGAGTTTTTGAAAAAATACTTGAATAACGAATGGTTTCGATGAAGAATTAAAGCCGAGATTATTTTGTGTCATCATTTCATTTAATGTTGGATGTTGTTGTTGAGCATCATTAACTTCAATTCGGTCAAGTAAAGTCATATCATTCATAATATCATGTAATGGTGTACAATTGCAAGCTAAATCAATACAAAAATTGGCTTGTTCTTAGTTTGATTGTGTTTCCAATTATACTTACGTAAAGTTGCTGCACAAACAGTAATATTTGCTTTTACTATTGCAGTTGCTAATATACTCAAATTAAACAATTCCAAACGAATACTGTGCGCTCGTAGACATTGTTCAAAACTGATAACACCCGATTTTGATTGTAATTGTGTAACATTACCATTTTCTGAAGTTACATGGGCTGTTATTTCACCTAGCATACTTGCACTAGTATTTTGTGTAGTTAATTGTATTGCTATTAAATCTATTGGACCTTTTGTAAAATGGATACTAATTGTGGGATAAATTAATTGACGACGAGTCAGTGTAAATAAGTGTGGTGGAGTGAAAAGTTCATTTATTTTGAAATCATCATCTGTACTATATTCGATGCGAAAATACTCTGGACGAGATAGAATGTTGATTGTTTCATTGCAATTACAGACTAAATCAAAACGAAAACGAAACTAGGTAGTAATCACGTCACTCATGTCTTGTAGTGGTCAATAAGTGAAGTTAAAATCCTTCTTGCTAAGAAATTGATTTTTTCAGAAACCCGCTTTCAGTTTTGAAGCCTTATTAAATGTGACTATATAACTCATCACTTGAGTAAATATCGCATAACCACAGACAGCATCAACATCAATGAGGGAAAAGCAGCACCTAGTGCCGCTTAGGGTACTGTACGATGGATGTGAAATAAAATAAGATTTTGCTAAACAAGAAAGACTGATATATTTGAAGCAAAACTAAAATTCAAAGACATAATGACTTAATAAACGGAACTTTTTTCTTATCTATGAATTCGAAAAGATCTGAAACTTCGCATTCACGAATAATTTTTTTCTGACAGTTCTGATCAGTCTTAACTGTGACAGTTGTTAACTGCACCGGATCTGCACCTTTTACAGTTACAGTTAACCGTGACTGCTGCATACCTAGGTGCTAGTATTATATTAAAACATGAAAGAAAATTTTCATTACAATTTATGCACTAGACTCGAAATCATTTTACACAATAACTTTCTCTATTAAAATAGAGTATATACCTAGTTAAAGTATGTAAAAGATGTTGAAATTACTTAACATTAAGTCTATTCTTTTGCTGAAATTAGAATGGTTTACTTTTCGATGTATGAATACTTCGTGCTTATCAAACTATACTCCTTTGAGAAAAATTCCTAAAGTGAAAGTTTATAGTTCATTTTTTAAAAAATTCATTCTCTGACTCTTCAAGGTGGCTAATGAAACCGAAGTAAAAGAAACAAATTTTCATTGGCATATCTGCAACATTGGATCTACTATCTATTTAAAATTTTTTTCTATGACTGCCGCTCTTTAAATCATAAGGGCAATGTTTGACCCAAAATTTACGATTTTAGCATAAATAAATATTTTTGTCGTATTATGATTGTTGAAAGACAGCTATGTTTCATTCAATCGTCTTAAAAATTGATCAAAGAATTAAGGATAAAATAAAAGGATTGATCCATGTATACCATTCACTGGCTGTATTTGTCTTTTAGATCGACTCAGTTTTTCATTGCATTCTCTACCAGTCCATCCATCACAACATGCTGGTGTGTATGTAAGCCTATAAAATATCAACAAGTTACTACTAAGAGAAGAAAAGCTAAAACTATATTACCTCCTAAATAGGCATTGTTCTTCTGGACGTTTTTCTGAAAGCCTCCTTTGAATCAAATCTTGATCAGGTTCTGGTTCATCACATAATGCCTATTAAAACGTAATTATTTGATTACGATTGCATTTTCAAACTCTCTGACGTAAATTGAATAGAACATTTCCTATTCAGCTTGACCATATAACTTTGCTATTGTAGTGAAGTTCTGTAACGATTTTTTTGCATTTTGCTTTTCTCATCATTTTCGAGCTGCGTGACATGATGAAAAGTAAGTGTTTTTATTCTTTTCATATCTACTAAACCATAAGCCTAGACTAAAGCCTACGCATTTATATATTTCCCACCTGAATCCTATAGGATCCTAATATTTAGGATTCTGTTATGATTCATTTAGGATCGTAATATTTTTTCAATAATCACATTTTCTTTTCAAGAGTCTTTTCGGGTTCTGTTAGAACCGTAGCAAATGCTATGACTTTCGGATATCTCGGATTCCATTAGAATTTTGTAAGGATCCTTGAAAATGTAAGTGAAACCATAGCAGGATCTTAATAGGATATGTCTAGAATCCTGTCAGAAAATTTACAGGTATCTTTACTAGGAAGATCGTGTAGAATGCGGAAACATCTCAAAATATTCAACACACGTTTGGCTTTAGCTTAAGATGTTCCACAGTTCAACATGTCAAGTCTCGATTCGGCTCGAATCGGCTCCGACTTGGATCGGAAGTGAGAAGAGAAACGAAATGCAAAAAATCGTCATGGAATTCCACTACAATAGCAAGGTTACTTGACCAAATCGCAATGATAGTCGGTTTTTTGTTCGCAAGAGAAGATCCCCAGGTGAACCACTCCGATTTTGATGAAATATATTCAGCATGATAGAGTGAGCTAAAGTAAGCTTAGAAAAACGGAGAGATGGTTGTGTTTTATCAACAGTGCAATAAACAAAACCTTTTTTAATTAATTTATAACTTCTGAATATTAAATGAACAAATGATGAACATATTGTTTTGTACCTTAGGTCTTTATTTACAAAATAAGATCACTTTCAGTCATAGAGCACATTTCTATCAAAAGTTATAACTTTTAACCTCTTTTTTACAAAAATGTCTGCACCATCTCAGCTATTCAAATTAGGCGTATTAATATATTATAATACATAACAGTTATTCGTTAGTTATTTTACCTCTAAATCTAATGTCCACTCCTGTTCTTGTTTGTCTTCATAATTTTCAGGACAACCACTTTCTTTCGTTTCAATTGCAGTTATATTACAAAAATGAGATGTACTGCTAAAAAAAAAACAATCGCAAAATTTAGTCTTTACATACGTACGAATAATTATAACTGATTAACTATTATATTTTACCTTGTATAGGAAATAAAATTAAAAATAAATAATAAATAAATGGATAGTAGTGGACTCATTTTTGCAATTTTGATTAAATGAAAGAAAATAGAAAATAAACAAACAAAAAATTAATGATAACAGAGAGATAGTTGTAACCGGAGTCAATTTATTTTATCTCCGAATATTGTTCGTTATCAACATTGTCTGTTTATTTAAAATGATTTTATTTAAGTGTATACCCTAGTGAAAAATAAAATATCTACTCGATGATTCTATTCTTTTTTTCTTGATCAATCGTTTATTTTCATTCTAAATGGACAATTTTTCTATTATAATATTCGTTGATTATGTTGCAAAAAGTCGTTTTTGTTGGCACCATTTGCTTGTAATCGATTGATATAACCAACCGTAATGATCATAGAAAACAAAGGACTTTTTTTTGCAAATTATCTCATACAGTCAAAAAGAAAGTTACGGAAATTTGTTTCCTATTTTTCTGGTACAATCATAGAAGACTCAACAACACAATGTGATTTTGTGTCATTTGTTCGATTATATAAACAAAATTTTTCGAGAAAATTCACAGTCAATGCGTACACTCCTACTCTATTCTTCTATTTGTCCTGTACTATTTCAATAGAAAACTTTTGTCAAATATAAATTTCTTTCATGGGTTATGCAGATCCATCTGGACTGGAAATTAGTCTACTGTTTATGTATTAGTTGATGTTTATCTTTATTAGTATGTTGAATAATCTAAAGAATATATTTATATATTAGAGGAAAAATTGTTTTTTAATAATATTTTGCATGAATATTTAAGTTTAAAATTTTTGTCAGATATTTTCATTATGTTACTATTTCATTCTTAAATTTACTGTTATTATTTGTTACTACTCTACAATTTAAAAAGCTTCATTTAAATGTAGGCATCTCTTTAATAATTAGATTCTCTTCAAAGTAGATGTAGAATCAGTTGTCCATGTCAGAAGGTTAAATTATATTTAAAACAGATTATTAACTTTTCACCAAGACAAACAAGATCAAATATACATAAATTGTGCACCTTATAATTGTAATCGTATGTATAGATGATTTTGTACGATAAAAAACACTTAACTTTTTAAAATAAGTCAAAAAAAAAACAGAAATAATTGATTTTATTCTTTTAATCGAAAAGATCTTCGGGAATAATGATATATTTTTTTTTGTTATTGTAAATATTATTCTAAAATTGTTTTTATTATCTCTATTATGGCAAAATTATAGACCGTCAAAATATTTAAACAATATGCATTGGACTTTCATAAAATTTTAATCTGATGGTAATATCTAGTGAAACTATTTTAAGTTTTATTATGAGCTATTCTTGATTAATTTTATTCACACAGTACTTTTTTATTACCGTAAATAGGCATGCAAAAATTCTAGAATTGGTGTTTTGACGCATCTTCGAAAATAATTGTATCTCTCAAATCATTTGTTAACAATTTTTATCCATAATGTAAGATTGTATCGTGGACTTTTCTCTACAAAACAAACTATTTGAAAATTTTGCGGCAGCATTAGATTAAACATTATACACTATTTTTTAAAAAGTGAAATTGAAATTCTATTTGGTAGGGAATTGGTTAATATTTTTCTTGTTTTTGCCTTCTCAAATGCAAAATACAAACTTCATTATACCTTATTTTGTAGGAAAAAATCTGTCAAACAATTTGATATATGCAAAAAACATATACAACAAATAGTCTTAGAACTAGTAATTTTATTCAATAATCTTAAAAAAAGAATTGGTACATGCCTAACCCGTAAATACCAGTCATTATCTCTAAAATTAACGTTTAGGAAATCGATTTTTCCAGAAAACTCCTAAGAAATGATTTTCTTCGAGAAATTGATAAATAACTATTCCACTCGATAGAGTAATAAATGATATAGAAAACAAGATTTAGTCTAAATCTTTACGATTTTTTTTGTTACTGGCATGTTTACATTTTAGTATAGTAGAATACATACGAACAAATGACGTGTAGGAAAATGAAGGCTTTTGTGCATTAAAAAAAAACCTAGATAGATTGGCAAGATGCCCATGTTGTATGCCAAAAGTATTGCTCATGTTTAATTAATTTCGTGATCATTTCAAATTCTAATATAATTAAATCTCGTTTGTTATAGTCCGTTTTACTTGAGAAATCATAATAAAGCAGCTTTGCAAGATAAAAAACAATGATAAACATGAAACTTTGGCTTGGTTTTTTTAAAATTTTTATGAAATTTCATCTTGAAAAGTGATTTTGAAAAACTTAATTGACATTTCCCGATATAATTTGATGAGTTCTATCGAACCATGTCAAAATAAAAACACAAAAATATTTGTGTGTCGTTCTTAAATCACGAAAATCATACCTGAATGAGCGTTATACAAATTCTCAAACTATTTTTTAATATATAACCTAGTATCGTTTGCATTTACTTTATTTTAACAACTGCTGGAAATTCTTTTCACGTCTTTTCAATTAATTTTATTTGTTGGCAGTTCTGAGATTACAGATATTCATTTCATCTAATACAGAGCCCAATTGGGCGATTCAATCGTTTGAAATAATTATTTACCAGTGTAATTTGCAGAAATGAGAGTGAAAATTCGAAAATATCTGCCAGGTTCTTCAGATAAGTCCGTAAAATTTTTCAGATTTTTTCCAAAAAAATTCAGGAGGCCAAAAAACAGTTTCATTCGACATATTTAGCAGTTCTTTTGTAAAAGTGTTCATGGTACTCTGCTATTCTGGTCTTTAAGGATATGATATCCTACTAAAACTAGCCTATCTTGTTCAGTATTTTCTGCTCGTTTGATTCATGTGTAACTCAGATTTTTAAAATAGGAAATAGAACGAGAAAAAATTAAAATATAACAAAAGTCTACTTTTTCGATTTTTTGTATAGGGCTTTTCATATAAAACCGGTAACTCACTCAGTTTTAGGCTCTAAGGTTTAAAAGCTTGGGTTTATGGGTAACTTTGAAAGCTTTATCTAATGAGATTGTAAAAAACTGTTTTAATTCTGACCATGTTACACGCTTTTGTAATAGCTGCGTGAACCGTCTCTTAAATCATTTTCTAAGATGAAGTATCTCTAGATAATATCTTGGTATGCAATTATAGGAAAAATTATTGCTGACACATTAAAGACGACACAGACGAATAAACGCACTAGTATATATTACTAGTATGTATAAGAATGATAATATATAAGTCATACCATTTAGTCATATATGTATATGTACATCAAGTCTTCCATGTACATAAATGTACATAGTTTTTCTTTTAAGCCATGTGCAGGGATGAGAGTGAAAAATTCGAAATACCTGCCAGGTTTTTTGCAATACAAATTACTGACGTATCAACTGAACTAGAACTAGTAACAAAGTCACTCCAAAAAGGACTCAAACGAAAAGAATCGTTGTTAAAAGACGTTGTTGATAAAAAAACTAAAAAACGATACGTAGTAAATATGTTTTTAGTAATATTTGTACTGTAATATTTTTAGTCATATATATAGGGTAGGATTTGCAGGTATATTAGGATATGATTTGTACTGATTTAATTAATTCGACATTTATAATAGAAATGTTTTTGATTTCAGTAGAAATCGAAAAAAATTGTCTTTAATCTAAAACTATTTGATAATTTCAGGTATTTCAGGTAAAATCTCCGTCTTGAATTTGTTTATGTATATTTGTATGGCGCTCAATGAGACTAATTAATGACCATTTTTTTTCTCTATTATTATCATTCTATATTATCATAGTCTCATCTATTCTTCATGATGTTTGTTTGGATGACAAAAGAATTCTTCGTAATAAATCATCATATAGCCTTGCTCATATTTACCATAAATATTTGAGTATGAATAGTTAAATATAAACAAAAATTTCAAAAGGTCACTGTTATACATTCACTAGTTCTAATATATAATGAAATAATAAGAGTAAAATAAAAATTTCAAAAAACAAATAAAGAAAATACATGCATACATATATATTTTATAATCAGCGTTTATTTAACATGCTAAACATTGATGTGTTAATCTTTCATACGATAGTTCATCTATTTTAACAAAACATTTTTCCTCAAAACTAAACATGTACACATCGCCAGTATAAATATCAAACCATAATGCGTGTACTTGTAATTCACCACGATTTAAACGTTCTTCCAAAAATGGATAAGATAAAAAATTTTTCAATTGTTGCAAGGTATTTACCTAAAAATATACATATACATATAGACATAAGCGTAAATTATTATTTCATCTTCTAATGATGTCATTATTATCAAAGTTTACTTGAGAAAATTTATCTGCTACAGCAAAATTATTTCCTGAATCAATAAATGCTTCAAATTCAACGGCTTGCATTGAACCTTAAATAATAATAATAATAATAATTAATACAATGTGTGTATTTTATTCTGAAATAAATAAATAAATAGCTATCAAATATACCTTGAAATTTTAATTTTTTTGTAAAATCTTGTTCTAATTTTTTATATTGTTGTACAGTTTCCCAACCATGTAATTTAAGCCACTTTTCTAGAGGACCTTGTGGCGGTGATGTCATTTGATCACGAATAGAGAATAATAAATTTAGAGCCTAAAGAGAATAAGACATTTTTTTTTACAATTTATAACCTAGATGTGTATAGCAAGTGCTTACTTTACAATCAGAATGTCCAAAAATCACAATTGCTTCTGCTTTATACATTGAACATGCTAATTCTAGAGCTCCACATTCACCTCCAACGGTGGTATCATTCTCAAAATAACTATATTTTGGAACTAAATTACCTAAAAACGAAAACATTTTTCAACTTACTACAGAAAAATTCAATAAATTAAAATAATGAACGAACCAGGATTACGAACAATAAACAACTGTCCAGGAACAGCTTGAGTTAAACGTGATGCAACAACACGACTATCAACACATGTTAACATTAATGCTTCGGGCTAAAATAGTAAAAAATCTTTAGAAAATCAAAAATTCTTTATGATATTTCTTTATTATTGATACATGCTCGAGGTTTTAGCCAACTTTTTTTGAATTCTTCCATCAATAATGGTTTTAATGTTTGTCGAAATTTAATAATACCATCAATTATTCTAGTCATGCCTTTAGACGGATGCATTTTTTGTCTCTCTAAAACGATATAATTTTCGATTATTTGTAGAAAAATATTTGAATAAGAATAAGTTTCGTTTAACAGCAACTTTGAGTAAAAATTTATTTCAAATTTACTAAAAAATAAATAAAATGTTATTGTTTTTTTGCAATTTTTTGATAATTAAAATATCTAACGTTGTACTGCTTAAAAATATTACAGAAAATATATAATTTATCTTTTTGATAAAATAACAATAAAGTGACTCTAAAATTTTCTACTAAAACTAATTTTATTTATTTCGAAATAAAAGTAAATAATGGCTTTGTAAATAATGTTTTTGAGAAGTTGTCATATGCTTTATTTTTCAGGTATGTTGAATAGTTTTGTTAATAGCACGATCGACAAGTGAACTTATCACACTAATCTACTATGAAAAAAATGAAACTCACCGTAATTTTTACTGTAATTTCAAAAACTTTCACTGTGTTGTTTACTGTAAATCTGATTGTGAAGTAAGTCTTGATTAAATTGTAAATTTTAACTGAGATGCTAATTTCGCAGTAGAAAAATCCACCACCATAACAAAAATTTCTATAAAAAAATATGGATATTAAACTTTGAACCACGTGAATTCTTTTGTGATATAACAAACATTGTGACGAAATATAGTTCCAATTTCTGTCCATAAGTTGTTTTATTAAAACTCCGACAGATAAAAAGAAAATCAGAAAGAAAAGAAAACCGTATGTTACGAATAGAAGAAAAAAATGAAAGCAAGCAATTGTAAATTATAAGGAAATAAAATCTTATTGGAGAAAAAAATGAGGCAATAATAATCGAAAAGTGTACCACCGCTCTGATGAAATTTTATACTAACGAAAGAGCTACAATCACACCGATCGATGTAATAATTAGAATAATCATATAGTCTATGATTTATATACGAACTAGAAGTGCAGAATCTACCTGTAAAAATGAAAAATTTAAACAACGATGTAAAAATTTCTAATATAAAATGTTCTCTAATGTTAGAATATTTTCGACTACAATTATTTTTTAGCAAAATACTATTTTAATTTTTGTGAAGTTTTTCTTGAAAATTTGGTCTAGAAATGGGCAAACCGGACTATTCTGCACCTAGCGATCCCAATCAGGAACAAGGAGGGATCAGACCCTCTCTGGAATTTCTGACTTTCTGTAAAAAACAATTCCTTGAACTTTCACAGCAGAAAATGTAACAGTAGCATAAAAAACTATTTTTATGTCAACTTTTTTGTGTTAATTTTTCGCGTAGGACGATGTCGAAAATTTTTTCCGATCCAAAAGTTATCGCGTACAAGATAATCGACTGGAAAAGTCGAATTTGCAATCGGTTTTGATCGAAAAAGATTTTAAATTTTTTCTATTTGATGTTATGTTTAAGATTTGAGCGACTGTAACATTCATAATTCATTTTAACATGTTAAGACTGCAATTAAAAATAGAATGAAAATGAGAGTTAAAAATTACAGAAGTTCGACCTATTTATGCGGCTGTTACCAAATAAAACCGTCGTCCGTAGGGCATTACATTAAAGCTGAGACAAAAAAATATCACGTTATATTTGGATGAACAGGAAAATGATAGAAAAAAAATGATCAGGATGAAAATTAAAACTGACTATTGTTTTTATTTGTATTTTACTCCCTTAATAAATGGAACGAAAAGTGAAGCAACCTCAGGTTGAGCACAAAGAATAAGTTAAAATAAAATCATTCCACTTTCCGCAAGATATATTTTAAGCTTTCTGCCACAATTATAGCCCCCTTCCCCCCCATCCTCCTAGCAATTGGAATTCCTGTCTGCACTTCTGCTACGTTCAAACGAAATTATGGATCATTTGAAATAAACACTATTGAATAAAAATCAGAGAAACATATTTTTCTCAAAATTTTCAATTCAAATTTCGTACGAGGTTGAATCATAACAAAAAAGAACACTTCTCTGTATGTATGACAAAGTTACTAATTGCAGTTTGAATTTTTCTTTTAAAATATGCTGATAAATTATCTTTTTTATTGTATTAAATAAAGTGAATAATAAATAAATAAATATTACTAAACAGCTCAGTCATTATGGTTAAAAATAATAATGTGGCTGTACATAAGTTTGTTGGAATTTATCAAATTCTGGTATACCATGAACCAAAGTTCGAAAATCCTTGTAAAAAACAGAAAAAATAGTTTTATGATAAAATATATCACCTTCTGAAAACAAAATTGTTCATCTCATACTTTTTCACTTATCCATCTTTTTCTATCGATTCCACTACGAAAACATAATTTTTCTTCACTAAATGCTTCTGTTCCAGTCAATAATCGTTGATACGGTTTGTCTCTATTTATACCTGATTTAAAACTATAAGAAATACAAAATAATGAGATTAAAAGGTCGCCAATATAACGTTTTCATATACGTCTCATCGTGAATTCGTTCTGTCCATTCTTGTAATTTTAATTCTTCACGCATTTTTTCTGCTGAATAATAATCTGACTCGCATCTTAACGATGGTTTTAATGAACGATAACGTTGATAACGAACTTCGTCTGGTGACCGAAATGGTCCCTAAGAAAAAAATAGAGATGATTTAAATAGTGATTGTATTTTACTTGGTAAGCGGAGGTTTAAGCGATTCTTATAATAAAAAATATCATCTTTAAGGGGTCCACACATCTTTTTTCATCTTGTTGGGAAAAGTGAAAGCGAAGATCCAATTCTAAATTTTTACTCAAGATAAAACATCGAAAAAGAAAATCGAAATATTTTTGCTCAGAATTTTCTGATATGTTCGTCAATGGACACTTTGAGGGGACCCTGGGTTACGACCTATCGAAAAAATGATCCGATCGAGCTCAAAACTTTACTACAGATACTTCAGAGCCTATTTCATTTTGTACATTTTTTTTCGAAAAATATGCTTTCCTTCTCAAGATATTCAAAAAATGCTGAAAATTCTTTGTAAAATGTTGGTTTATGATTCTAGAAGCGTTCTCTTCTTGGAATCACCAGTATTTTCCGCATTACAGTTACCATTAAATCCATCACTTTTGCAGACCATTTGCGGCGATGTTCATATCTCCGCGAAAAAACAATGGGAAATTGTCGGAAGTCATCTCATTGTGAAGAGAATATTTTGTATAAAAACAATTTTGAAGTATTCAAAACAAAAAAGAATTAACAAAACGTCAAAAATTGACCTTCTTCAGGCTCTCAAGTGAAAACTTCTGCAAAAATTTACCATTTTTGCCAAAAAAAAGCTTGTGAAACGGTGGAGATGGTCTTACTTTGTAATTCAGACTTTCCTCTGCATTAAGCTATGTTCAATTCAAAATAAAAGATTTTGCCCAAAACAGAAGATGACCCTTAAATACTTTATACTCGGAAAATATGGAGTTCTTGTAATATAAATAGAATCTAGCCAGTTCTTGAAAACGACTTTATGAAGAGAGTTCTATGTGGGTAAAATATTACTTGTGGTTTTGGATTTAATGGTGGAAGAACTATTGATGCCACATCTGTTTGTTGTCCTTTTTGTTGACGTAATTTTGGTAAATCAAACTTTATATTTCTCAAAATAATTTCCATTTCTTTTGGTGCACTTAAAACAAAAAACATCAACAAAGTACAGAAGATAAAAGGTGGTTCAAAAGTTTCGACGCCTCTCTGTAAATTGACGTTATCTACATGAAATACATATATAGTTAGCTGATTATAACATATCATTGTGTAGGCAAACATTAGAGGCATCATCTAACAAAAGAGGTTTGAATTGTGTACACATAGTGCAAAGTTATGGTCATTTTATTAATTTTGAAAAAGCATCTTTATCTTACAGTAACATGTAAAATTTTTTTCAAGATGTTTTTTCACAATTAATAAAATTCATATAAATTTCATATAGATAACGTCAATTTACAGAGAGAGATCGAAACTTTTAGAAAATACAACGTACTGTAAAAACTTCGAATTATAAACGCCAGAACATGTTTTTGTACTCATTAAATAATGTGTTCGTTTTGCTTCTTCTTCTAATTTTTGTAAATTTTTCATTCGATGTTGTTCTAATTCTTTTTGTTCCAAATATTCACGATATTCATGTAATTCAAATCTGGAATACGAGAACGTAGTCTTTTTGACATGAGGAACAAAAATCATAGACATTACATACCGAACTTGTTCATTTTTCTGTTCTAATATATTGAAATATTTCTTTCGACTATAATAGTTAAATATATATTTTCGAATATAATAACCACGCCAAATTTTTTGAATCTAAATACAGAATATCTCACCTATAATAGTTTATTTCTAGGACAAACAATGTAGTCGCACTGTAAGAGGAAAGAGCAATCTATCAGTATAATATTTGCAATGATTCTTCAATCTTCATTGTTTGTACATCATTTTAAAATCCCATGATTGTAGATACCCTTGAATACACAACTTCAATCGTTGTGTATCATATGGAGGCATGTTGGCTGACCTCTCAATCGACGATTTTAACTATAGTTGGTGACAAGTAATATACGAAATTTTTCGAACACAAAAGAAAATACTTTTGAACAGTAAAACCGTGAGCAGTGTAGCTACTGATTGGATTGGACAGGCCTAAACCCAGTCACGAAATACCTGAGCCCAGTCGAGAATAAAATGGTCTTTTATTTGCATGCTTGGTTTCCAAATCTTTACTGTTGGGTAAAACGTGTTCTCTGAAACGGAATGACTTTTACTATCAGCCTCTGTATGACGAAATAATTTTGCCGCTATTTTCTATTCGTTTTTCTAGAAAGTTCTGGAATGAATCCAGTCTGGACTTTTGTCTGGCTTCGCCCCTACAAAACTTCTCAGTCAAGGTGTATGGATTTTATCCATACAATGACTAAGTTACGCTATTCTTTATCGTAAATCGACCGAAAGTTTCCAAAAAAGTGGCATTTTAGGTACCAATATAAATTGGTTCATATACTCTAAATGTTTACCAAAATAAGAAAATTGTTACCAAAGAAGGCAAGTTTTGGTGATTCAGAATCCGAGGTACAATAAAAATAATGTATTATACATACACGAAAACAATGAAAATTATTCAAAAGGCAAAAAAGTCCTCATATTAAGGAAAATTTGGGATAATATCCCAAAGCTTTTTTTTGACTAGTAATAATTAGATGCTAAAAGCATAGTCTCGTCGAAAAATGCATCGGTATTGTATGAAAATTCTCGATTGTTTCAATAAACCCAAAAAGAATATTACGATGGATGTTAGCGCCTTATTTTAAAGAAGTTTACAAAAAACTTTGTCTACTACAACGGGAAACGTTTCGATATTCAAGAGTCAGAAACTCAAAGAAGTAAAATTGTGTTTTCATCTCATTATGTATGGTTGGATGGAGCGCATCGAGCTGATTCAGAAAATAAGTCTTTTAATGTTTGAAAAATTGAAAATACTTGAAAGTCTAAATTTTCGAAAAAAACGCTTCAGTATCAAAACAATTCAAATTTTTTTCGTTTTCGTTCTAATATTTTGAGTATACCTTGTTTTAGATTCAGCATTAAAAACTGAGTATGAATCTGATATTTGATCGAGTTTGAAGATAAAAGTCTATCGGATATGGATGATTTGGATCAAATGTTAGTAAACAATTTTGTAAACGTATCTAGTATTTTTTGGAGAGCTCAAGTCGAATTTTTTTATTTCAGTGGAACTGCTGGAAGGCTGGCTTTAATAGTATGGATCGCTTTTGTTTTATTTTGCTTCGCCACTGAGAAAATTCATTTTTTCCAGATCATGAGCAAAAAAAGCGGAATTTTGCCCGTAATTCCCTGTTTTTTCCATCAGAACTCATTTTTTATGCAATAAAAATATCATCTTCAGAGTCAGTATCAAAAATTGAGTCGAACAATGTATGTTTCAAAATTATTTATTTTTTTGGCGAAAATCGCAGTAATTTTTCGACGTGAAAACTCAAAAAACATTAAAATGATCGAATAGGATAAAAGAAGTACATTATTCGACTTACCCTAGTTGCATAATCGTCATAATACTTCAGTTTCGTGTTAATTACATCTTCCTACACAGAACAGAATTAACCATTAATACAGATTTTTCCGTAAAACCATTTACTTTCAGTCTTTGACGATAAATTTGTTTAGCTTTGAAACCATGCCAATAGGTTTGAATAACTGTTGCACAACGATTCAAATATCTTGTGAAAAATTTAAACGACAATATGAGACTTTTGTACTTTGTTTTTTAGTTTCTTTATTACCTAATATGGCGTCGAACACGACAACCTCTCCAATAAGATTGAATTACAAGTGCAGCGGTATTTTCATCATCTCTAGCTAATTCTGCTTCTCTAGAATTAGCGCAAAAATGATTTTCTTATTATTCGAATTTAATTAGTAAAATAGAAAAAAAATAATAGTTTTTCTACCTAGCAAGATGTTCTAATTTGGATAGTATATTAGTAGCATCTCGTCTTAACTCGATGTAAGCTGCCATATTGCTGAACAATTCAATTTTGTTGTTAGGTTGTTACATTGTAATACTCGGAAATAGACGGATATGACTCATTCTTCATTTAAGTTGCTTCTCTCGACATCTGCAGTACTATTGAAAATGTCATTTACATAAAATGGTCAAAGTATATTTGACTCTTACGATTGTGACTTTGTAAAGAGTATAATTCATTGTCAAATTCAAATGTCGCTAATATACGGTACAGTTGGTAACATGATAAACAATAAAATTGTATCTATTCTTTAGTTTTACAGAAACTCAACGTGTTAAAATTGAAAATTTCTGCAGTATTGATGATAATTAGTTTTTACACCGTAAATCGCAGGTGGTAAACTAACTAAAATTATTTTGAAAGACTCGGCATCTACAGCTTTCGACTAGAAATCTAGTACAAACTACGCGGTAATCATTCTGGCATTTGTGTTCGCTTTTCAATCATACCATTAGAATAAACCTGTTTAACATAATGATAAAAAATTTCAATTTAATTCACAAAAAATAAGAATAAACATATACATAGTACTGTACAATATAAATAAAGTAAAATCAAAACTATTCTACAATATTTTCTCTGATTGTAAACACACAACATATTAGATTTGCAAGTTTTCAAAATTTAATGTTTGAATTACATTGTCATTTTCATCATTTGTACGTTCACTTGTTATTGATGATGTTTTATAGGCTTCACTTAATTGTTTCATTAGTAATGGTGTTGATAATTGAGGATTTAATTGTTTAAATTTTTGAAAATTATTTTTAACAAATGAATTATATTTATTCGGTGTACGTAATGGTTGATCAAACTGTTTTTGGTGAATAATAATTTTATTTTCATCTTCTTTATCGTTACCACTAGAATTTAGTTTTTGACTTTTAACATTCATTAATAATTCAAATTTATTCATACAACGACCACAATAATCAGAGTCAATGTTCAACGATTTTGTATGACGAAATACTCTACAAAAAGGAAAATAGATCGTGAACATAGATAGAAAAACATTGAAATAGTTGTAATCTGCTGTTGTAAAGGTGAGTGAGAGAGAATCGTATGTTGTCTCAAAAGTTGACAGTTAGTAGTTTTTAGTTACTTCTGATATAGACAAATTCTTTCAAGATAAAAGAAAGATTTTCATAAGCATCAGAGGTGAACGGAGGACCAGAACACACCGTACCATACCGTGGTATAGCAGGACTTTCTAAGCATACGGTACGACATAGTACAGTTTTTTGATATCGACGGGATGGGATCTTACGAGGGAACCGCCCCAGGTGCCCAACTCCGATTTCCTTCATTCATACCTCGTTTTATAGAGCACATCGAGCTGGTAAAAAGCCTAAAAGGATTTTTGCCCATGGCTCTTGAAGTCTCGGTTTTCTGCAAAACCAGT